AAAGACCATTAATTGTAAAGCCAACTCCAGGCAGACCTGATCGCCAAGTCCCACCACGACGAGGTAAATGCTGCTGTTTCTCCCAAAACTTTGGTTTTTGAGTCAGTATATCCTAAAAAAATTGTAGAAAAGTAAATCAAGTGGGGGTTTTTCTTCTTTGGCATAGGGCCCTTAAGCAGAGATGGCTCTTTTGGCCCATCACCTGTGAGTGGAGGAAATCCATCACCCACACAGATGATAGAAGTTCCTGCTCGGCCCCTTTCTGCTCCTCGAAGGGAAAGCTTGAGAGGTGAATTTGGTAAGCAGTGAAGCTTCCCTTCCGTCATAACTATCTCTTATGCTACAAACACAAGAATGCTAAGGTCTGATCTTGGTTCTAGGGATAGTGTTAAGTATTGATACCTGCTTTATTAACACACACGAGTGGTTGGTTTTGGTTTTTCTTTTGTGTGGGTGTGTTTTGTTGGTTTTTTTTTAAACAGAAATAGCTCAGGCACGTGTTGATTAGGATCTCTGGGGTTCTTGTTTCCCTTAAGGTACGGTGGTAGATGGTCCCCCTGCTCCACGAAGGCCACCAGAGTTACCTGGAAGGATGTCTGTTCCTGGTAAGTTGTGGCCTGCAACCAACTATCACTTATTCAGTTATTCTTTCACTTCAGAAATGTAATTTAAAAACTATGTTCTTTACCCCAAGCATGGTAAGACATGGATTCATGGCTCTCTTTACAGATCTCGGGCCTGCTGTAGCGTCGCTGATCAGTAGTGGGCCAAGAACCTCCTCCCCTTCCACAGCAATGGATGGAGTGGTAAGCTGAAAAACCCCCAACCTTCAGGAAGCGTTTCTAATACATGATTCGCTGTACTTCCTGCTGCTTCTTTAACTGTATCATGTTCTGTCTTGTCTATATCCTGTCACTATTCTTATTTGCTGTCCAAAAAAAAAAAAAAAGCAACCCTCTCCCAAAGAGTCTGAAGCCCCCTGTGTACCTACTGATTCACCTTCATCTATCGAACCAGCTACAGTGAGTATTCAGAGGCTGGATATGGTGTTACTCTGCTTTGATGGAGAGGAGTAACAGGCTTGGTTTTCTGAACTGCTGAATAACAAAATGCTCTGCAAAACTAACCAAGGGCTTATACGTCTGTCTCAAAAGGCTTCTCTAATGATGAACAGTTGCTGTCTGGTTTTTATGTAATTGAGGAAATGGGATCTTTCTTTTTAAGGACTGCAGGCAAATGCTTTGGAGTGACTACATCAATAATCCTAAGAAGCTGACTTACCTGTGGTATTTAAGCACAATTGCATACGTAATTCAAGGCACCAGGCCCTTTACCAAAGGGCTGTCCACTGGGGACACTTCAAAAGGGATTGAACTTGTCTTTAGTCCAGCTTTGGCTAAAGAGAAGTTGTCATCTTGGAAGGTGCACTAAGCACTTGCTCCTAGGGAGCGCAAGCGGTGTTCTGGGTGAAAGGACAATGATGGTGCAGTAACTTTGCCTATTTTCTACTTGGTTAATGTGTTTCGTGGTGTGTTTTTTTCCCCCCTTTCTTCCACCTCTTGGCCTTTGGGCAAGCGGTTGTGGTGTTCAACAGTGTCAGTACTGCTCTGATGCAGTGAGTAGTACACTGATGATAACCTAATCTCACACAGGCTAATGCTAGTCCCAAAGGCCCACCTTCTTTCCCTGGGACACCTATCATGACCCCCCCAGTGATGGGACCTCCGCCTCCACCGCCTGTTCGCTATGGACTGCCACCGGCTCCTCTCCGTGGGCACTTTGGGCCTCGACCTCTTCCTGTGCCCCTAGGTACAGTTGCGTTGCCGCGTGCCGAAAAATAACTTTTCCCGCTGTGCTGCTCAGAAGCCTGCCGCAGAACTGTGATCTGCTGTCCATTGGCACGCAGCTTCCCCACGCTTCGTGGGGTTGAGCTGTCTTGCTCAGTAAGCTTGGGTGGGTGGGTTTTTTCAAGCCTCCTTAATGCCAGGGTATTAAGGAGGTATCTTCCCTGGTTTAGTCTAAAATGTTTTAGAAATGAGCAGCCAAAAGTCACTAGAATAGAATTAATAGCCTGTGCTGTCTGCATGTGCCAGTGAACCACCCCAGAGCTGCTCCAACGAGTCAGAAGCTTCACCATTTAGATTAAAGCAAGATTTCCTTTAATTCCCATGCTTCCGTTTCTTTCTAGGTCGTGGTGCTCCCTTGCCGCCTCCAGCTGCAAGAGATTTCTTACCTGGCCCACCCTTAGGAATGAGAGATCTGCCTCCTGGCCCACTGCTGCCTCCTCCAGATTCACGAGGCTATGGACGTGGGCACCCTCCTTTTCGACCCCTAGGTCCTCCTGGCCCAAGAGATTATCCTCCAGCCCCACGGCTGCCCCCCCCTGGTTCAAGAGACTATACGCCTTCTCCTAGCAGAGACTTGCCTCCATCGGGACCTAGAGACTACCCCCCAGGCCCGCCGCCACCACCACCACCAGCAGGCTCAAAGGACTACACACAGCCTCCAGTGCAGAAACCCTAACTGCAGCACCTGGTCAGCAGCTCAACAGAATGGACTCTAGTGCACTTCCTGCGGTCAAGATTTTAGGAAACGGCGCTCTGTTTGAAGCCGTTTGTCTCATTTCAGTATATTACAGCTTTTGCAGGATTAATTTTTATCCAATTGCTACAGACATCTTACATGCATTTATGATCACCTTAAACTCATCCATCCTCTTGGGCTGCAAGAACCCTTTTTTGTGATGGACTGAACCTATTCTAAACGTGCAATAGAAAGGAAGTACCTGTGTGGCTAGTTTTAATTAAATGTAGCCTCTGTAACCAGTTGGTGAATGAACTAATTTCGTGAAAAATGTAAATCAAATCATTTCCTGTGGAAATAATTTTTAAGTAAAATGCTATCCTACCTGCCTTCTCCATCACATCATTAAGCTGCAGTTATTGTAGGCCAGGGGTTTACATGAGGACTGTGAGGTGGTTTTTTTGTTTGTTTGATTTTTGTTTTTTAAAAAAATGTCTGGTCAGAGATCAGAAGCACAAATGACACTGTATTCAAAGGAAAGTTATAATAAAAAGCAAAAATTCCTTTTGCTAAACCCTGAAGGCTTTGTTTCAGTGCCATTTTTTTGTTCAGAAAGGACATTGGTTCAGTAACTTAACCTGGGAATGCTACAGCCACAGCCAAGTTCAGGAATCGAATCAAGGCTGAGTAACTGCTGCTGCCACAAGATTAACAGCTGCATTACCCTTGCACTGAACTAGTCTGGCAGGTTATGGATTTGCTTCATGTAATGAGGGCAATGGGGGATTACAGCCCTCCTCAGGTGGAAGCCTTTGTGAAGCTGTGTGGTTAGTTTGGAAATACAGGTGAGTGCTCTGGGATTCTAGAAACTTGAGAAATTTCATAATTGTGCTTTCTTCTGTCAAGACTGGCTTGCCAGCATTATGCAAGGTTTGAGCGCCAAGTTTTCATCTTACTCTGTATTTAGGACCGAGTCAGCTTCCTTGGCAGTCAGGCTGTACTTCTACAGCCTTTTTCACTTCTTTACATTTAAAACCTAGTTTTCCATAAAGTGGAGTTGGGTGTATGTAAGCCATATGGACCTCTATCACTTTATCTCAGTTTGCATACACAGAACAGTGGACAACTTCACAAACACACCCTATGCTTGTAGATGTTCAAGGAAGCCCCTGAATGCAAGTGTTAGTATGAGGATGAGTATGTAATTATTTGGCATAGCAGGCCCCCTACCTAGAGGCTAAGGTTTTTCAAAAGCATTCCCTAAACACTAAGCCTTTAGGGCAGGGGGAAAGAGAGGGAAAACAACCAGGAATGATAAAAAACCCTACTGGAAAGCCATTACAGCTTTACTGCCAGAGTACAAGCAGCCACTAGACTTGCCATCTAGCTGTTGCATTCTTACAGCACAAGTATTGCGCTTTAGGCTTAAGACAAAAGACAAGATTAGAACATTGCTAAAGCATAAAACAATGTGTGTTGTGGGGAGTAGTAGTCCTTTCAACTGAAAGACAGTTCACAGAACAAATGCAAAGGATAGAAGCAACTTTAAAAATGGTATTTCACACTCTACAGCCAGTAATTCACAACCAGTTAAATACAAAGCTCTACTTGTGTATTTAACAAAAATACTTCAAAGTCAACATTTCATATAACTGGAGTTAATACAGACATCTACAAGCTGGGGAAGAGTCAAGGTAAGCAGCTGTGAAACAATGGGGTTGGAATTCAAGTGAAAGTGTTCAGTTTGCGTAGCGGCTAATGACACGCACAGTGATGAACATTCATGTTTGAAAGTCAGGTTCTCCCAAGTTCAGGATCTTTCCATCCCCAGCGCCAAGCTTTGCCATGCTTAGTGTCTCTTCCGTTGCCCACCTCAGCTGACATTTGCACCATAAAGCTGCATGGACTCTCCCTCAGAGCACCAGGAGGAGAGTCATGGGGCAGTACACAACTGACTGCAGCCTTTTCACCAGGCCATGAGAGACACCAGCAGCCATGGGAGGACAGCAGAGCTGGGACAGGGCCCCTCACTGAGTGAGACCGGCCGTACACGTCATGGGTATGCTCATCAGTGCTACAGAAGGAGACCTGAGCCAGCCAGGGACCACTAGCAGGTAACACAGCTCTTGGCCAAGCTCAGATTTATTTGCAGCCATAGACTAATGCTTTGCTCCATCCTTCTGCAGAGCTCAAAGGATGATTATTTTTTAAGAATGGATGTATCATCCTTTTGTCTGGTTTCCAGAATGCAGCATTCAGAGTTATTTCTGTAACTCGTAAGCATACCTTTTCAGGGCTTGATATTCAATGTATCTAATGTAACACCACTGGGGTATTGTAAAGACCCGTAAGCAGGAAAATTCAATTGCACTTTTTTTTCCCCCACCCCCTCCAACCAGTAGTGGAATTTGAGGAAGGGTTGCTGACTTTTGTCATAACACCTAAATAACATCAGGCCAAGGGAAGGCAAGAAGATCAGGACATTCAAAAAGAGCTTTTTTTATCATAGTGATTAGGGTAAGCCAAAAATGCTGAACTACCTGCCTACAGCCAGACAAAGATCATGAGGAAAAGTAACATCCCTTTCATTAAATCAAGGTAACATCTTAGGGTCATGTGACAGAAAAGAGGCCTTGGTGATACATCTGCATCCAGACTGTTTAGAATAAACCTACTATTTGACACTGTTTGGGGAGCTGGGTCTGTTGGTAGCATAGCAGAGTATTTAGGCACTAGTTACAAATGCAAGAAATATATCAAACCTTAAAGTATTGTATTAAATATCCACGCAAATATATGAAAGATTTGACTGGGTTCTACTTCTGTCCCTTTATTAGGTCAAAAAGTGAATGCAAGTGTGTCATAATAAGCCAATGTCCTGCAGCTTATTACACACCAAAAATATAGAAAATAAATGATAATCCTATCTACTTACATAAAAAGGTAATTTTTAGAGTAAGTTTCCAGACTTGCACAAAATATGCAGAGAACTGCATACAATCAGTTTCCATAAGAACAGCAGTTTCATGTAAAAGGTGGGTCAACCTGCTAGCCAGATCTACTTCAACAAAAGCTCTGGAAAACTGGCACGGAGAGGCCTGTCCTGCCATCACCGAGACTGTGAAACACCCACTGCCATGAGGATGAAGCCCTGGAGGAAGCCTCTCTCTGCCCCGCCCCCCCCTCCCCCTTTGTAAATGACTCTGTGACAAGATACAGAAAAACTAGCTCTATTAGGGAGTAATGGTGATTTAAAGGATTGTAACATGTATCGTATCCAAAATTCAGTACGAGTGGATCAGGCAAGGCTGCTAAAATCATAGTTCAGCATTCTCATCTGCAGTTGTCCTCCTCCTGGCCTGGCCAAAGCAGAAGAGCTGACTGAGGAGCCCTTCTGTGGCCACCCCACATGACCCAGTGTCCTCCTCTCTGTCACTCTGCATCACTTACTTGCAGTACCTCAAGCTCCTTCCTGTCCCACTTCATCTTTTCTCCTGGTCTTCTGCCACCCAGCCCACTACAGAGGACTCCGAAATGCAGATGAGAGGAACTACAATAGCACAGCAAGTGTAAACAGGTTAGTAGGCCTGCCACAACTTTATTGCTACAGGTTTGGCAAAGGGGCAGTCTCCATCCTTGGGTGGAGTTTGAGGCAAAAGGATAATAACGGTTAAGATAGAAAGTGATGAACAGCAAAATTAGGAAAAGCAGTCAACATATTTCAGGGCTCTCAGAAAAACCTGTATCTGGAAGGTACTGAAAAAGGCTTGCACTTGAATGGTGGGCTTGCCTCTGACCCTGAAGTAGTGCTGTGCAGTGTGTGATGGTCCCGTCTGACCTACTGGCATGAATACAGTCACCTTCCTGCCACTCGAAGGCTAAGGCTACTACACACAGCTACCATGACTTGTGGTTCAGTTCACAGAAGTCTCACAACTAGGGTCATTCCTTGTGCAATGTTTGATGGAGGTGAAGGTAAAGTGGTTTCTTGGTCAACAGTTGCAATTTCTTCCTTTTAAAGTCAGTGGGTTTTTTGTACCTGTAACCACAAGAAAGTAAGTTAATCCAAGTGCTAATGGCTGTGTAGGAAGATGAAAGCATACTAGAAAGTTTGTCCTGTACAGATCTTATTACCGAAATCTTTTAAATACATCTGACAAGACTTACTGGAAGCAGCAATGATGAGTAGATTTACAGGAAGAAACTCAAACTAGTATTTTCTCTGCATTATTATATTTTAACAAAACAAAGATTTTTATTTTTAAATGGATATAAGGTTTTTGTAAGAATTATTCCCAGTATAATACTCTGGCTTGTAGGACATGCAGTATCAGCTACTCAGTACTTCAGACATACTCCAGCTAGCACAAACTAAGCACTCTTCCGAGAGATGCCCAGAATTGCAAGGTAAACACTCTTCCTCAAAAAAAACAACCCCTCAAAAACACCTCACACCTAAGGGCAGGATCTGCAGCATAACTGGCTAATCTATTTCTTTGTATACTTAGAACAGGGAAAAAACACAACCACCCAACAATGCTTTGAAATGTTCATGAAATAAAATTGCAAATCACTATCCCATGTCTCAAATCAGATTTCCTTTATAGAAGTTCTGTTCCAAAAGATTATGTGAGTTCATTTATTATTTTTTTAAATATACTCAATCTGACACTCAAGCTAAGGTCAGAATTAAAATCTCCCATACAGAATTTGTAAACTTCATGCAAAATTTAGTTATAAACACCAGCATTTTATTTGGACATAGTCTAGTTTTTGAGAAGAGTCTCTACCCCTTTTCTTTGCCTAAAAGCATTTTATCTTCCCTTGTTTATTAAAAATAGAATGACTTCCATAAGGAATAAGCTAATGAGTCCAAGAAACCTTCCTTGATGCAACAAGCCACACATTGTAACTGCACTCTAGTTCATTTCCTGTCATTGGCATCTATAATTGCGAGTCACTTACAGTTCTATAACAATTGCCCCAGGTTTAATTTCATCCATCTCCATGAAAGCAAAGCACTTGGTGCTAGTAAACCTCTTCTTAGGCTTGTAGTGTTTGAATTCAAAGAAAATAGCTGCACCTAGAGTGGAAAATGGTTTAACAGAAAAGTTAATGATTATGGACAAGTGTTATCTGAAAACTTATATGTCATTAAGATGCTCAACATACATTGGAGGGAGTTATCTCCAGTGTTTCTGTTATTTACTCAAAAGCTGTACCATGTTCTTACAGCGCTCACCACACTCACAAGAGCTTGTAATCTTCACTCAATTATTCAAATCCAGGTAACAGTTTGTCCAGTGACTAAGAAGGTGATAAAGCAGCTCAATACATGTGTAATAGAGCAGACTGCTGCATTTTTATCTCCTTTCATTCCTCCCTTGTCTGCAAGTCATCACGATGCCCAATTTGAAAGAGACAGAACACAAAGGTCTATTTTTATCCTTGTCTGGTGCTTGAGCCCTGCAGCAGCATCTCAGGCACAGCCTGTTTATTAGATCAGGAGCAGCCTTGTGTCTACACTTCCAAAGCTCCTGGGCCCTCCTTCAGGTCTCCGATACAACATACCTTTTGTTAGTTTTTCAATGTGTTTCTGAATCTCAATGTCCACATTAAAATGGACATATGTGTCCTCCTTCCTTAAAGCCACAGGAGTATCTTGCACAGGAGTCAGATCTATCCCATTCAAATCTGCAGGAAAGAAACAGCATGAGAACAGCAGAAGCTTGTCAGACTTTAAGGTCCTGCTTTAAGAGATTTAGGAATCACTCCTAATACTGCCACAAAAAGTTAATGCACACCTGGATTTTTCCCCTAAACTTTAAAAAAAAAAAAAAGGAGGGGGCAACCATGCCCCTTCCCAGTCAGTTAATTTTCTTTGTGATTGCAACATGAAAGCAGGTAAAATTCTGACAATACTCATGACGAAAATGTGGAATTATTCCTCTTTCTATTTTTAAGAGCACATTTCTTTCTGCTGCCAGCAAAAGATTCCATTCCCTCTGCAAGCGGGATCCCAGCAGGGCTTCCGCCCTTCAGCTGAGCCGGCAGAATGGGATACGCAGCAGAGGCTGCACCGGGTCTGCGGGGCGCAGCTGGCAGGCCTTACACCAGGTGTATACGCCCTGCTTTGCTGCCTAGACTCAGCGTGCATTATTCCTCTGGGCTTTTCCATAGGCAGAGGCACAGTGGGGCCCTGGGTTGGACTCCAGCTCTCAGTGCTAGCCACCGGTTGTGCTGCTCAGGCACATCCACCACAGTGAGACACTGTTTCTCACTAAGCCTCCGCTACTTACATAAGTCCATTTGTCCTCTTACTCCTTCTCCTCTCATATTAGTGATCCCATTCCCTCAGGTGGAGCAAAGTTGCTAACGAGGTGGCCAAGATTACAAGTACAGAGCGCGTGCATCGTGCCTGGGGTACAGGCTGAGGCAGGGCCCCGGAGCACCGCTGACGCACCTCATCCCGGGAGCGCACTGGGACCACCAGTGTTGCCTCAGGAACAAACCTCTCTCCAAACCTGCAGAAGAGCAGCCTGGTATAGAACCAAGGCAAATGGCTACTAAGCATCTTCGGCCTCCTAAGAGGGACTAAATGCCTTTACATTGTTACTTTTCCTCACCAAAAATCTTGAGAAAAGTATAAAACCCCCTTGATTCTATTCTCTACATCATTACTTGGAAGCCACCATTTATAGGAGCTCACAAATAGAGCACCACATATTAGCAGAAAGACTTGTTCAGAAAATACGCCTAGGAATATAGAGTGTCCCTTAGCTCCAGAAAGGAGCCTCTGAAGGCAAGCGACAGTTCTAACAATATGTAGTAAGTTAAGAAAGACAAACACTGAAGTGGCAAGGAACAGTGAGTGTTTGCTTTACAAGTTCTGGTAAGTTCCAGGATCCAGTGTTAGAACCCCATTAGGGCTGGTATTTTCCTGTTGACCAAGAGAAACTCAGCATGAAAGAATTAAATTTGATTAAACCTACATCCATCCAGCTAGCCCCACCACTGAAGTCACCCATCCCTCAGCTTTCTGGCATACCAGAGGCAAAGATAGATCCACAAGTGACTAGTGAAATGGAGCCCAAAGAACAGTCACACAATCTCAAAATAATGCTGCAAATCTAAGGCAACACCATAAACAAAGAAATACAGCATGTTTCCAAGACTGAAAACACAAAAAGGCAGTTGTATCAGCTGGGGAAGGCAAGAGTCATGCTCCAGCTTCCACCCCAGCCAGGTGAATACTCCAAAAGTCCACAGAGAAGTGAAAGGTTTCACCATTGAAAAAAAATCATCACAGGAAACGAGACTAGTTAAAGCTTTCTGTCTATACATTTTGGCGGGTAACACCTGAGAACATCACTGGGATTCAATATTGTGACCCTTACTTCTGCCAAAGAACTTGTCTGGTGGAGCAAGCACCTGATTACACATCTGACAAGTATTTTATTCCTACATTTGGTATCCAGTAGCACATCTAAAGAGAACACCTACAAGGTCACTATCACAACTGAAAATAACTAGAAGCTGTTGGCTCAGATAAAAATTTTTATATGATAAACAAAAAAAATCATGTACCTCAAAAGATTGTAAAGATAAGCAGAAGTCAGGCAGGGCAGGTTAAGGGTAAGCAATTCCAACTTACAGGCACTTCCTGCTAAGAAATGCAAAATGGGGAAGAAGTAGATGCTCCCACTAGAAAGAGTCTGAATACCAAAAATCCCAGCCTCAAGCAAAAGACATCAACCATGTTGTCATCTGAAACAGTGAGAAATCCTAATGTTGCCTATCCTGGACTGACAGAGAGGGAGGTTCTTCCAGATTCATGGAGACTCTCAGAGGGAGAGGCTGTTAGCCCACCAGGCTTTGCCCAAAGTATTTCATTGCCAAGGCTAGAACATATTTTATTTCACTTGCAAGCTTTTCTTCCCAACTTCATACCCATTCCTCTAAACCATAAGCCTTGGTAAGATGATACTTGTTTTACTAAAAAATTAGTTTAATGACAGGGCAAGAATGGGGTCAGCAGGCTGTGGTTCACCATCTCCAGAAAGCCCAGAGACCAGAGTACAAGCAGTCCAAACAGATCCGTACTTAAGAGTCAGCTGAAGAAGCTGGAATAGCAAAGTACAGTCTGCCAAGTCACTGCTACTCGGCTCCCAGCATGGGGAAGGCGCCCCAGAGTGCACAGATAAGCGTGTGTCCGGCAGTGATTCACCTCCCAGTATCGCTCAAATACAGAATTTTTCCACCCTTGATTAAAGCAGAAGCCTTAAAGTCCACAATAGAAAATGCAAGTACCAACAAATATTTTTCCCAGCAGGTTGAAAGAAATCAATACAGCTTTCAGAAAATACACTTTCTCCAAACTAGAACTGAGGAGCCAGGAACAGAAATCATTACCCTTTACACTGACTGTGATGTAAGGATCAATGCACTGCCCAGCATCTTTCAGACCAATTTTCTCTATGTTGATGGTGAGTAATGTCATCCCGGGTTCAGATGGCAATCTGGGTAATAAAGTACCTGGAAAGAGTAAAACATATTATTAACCCTTTGTGTCATCTTACAGCAAAGGTCTTGTTTATCCCATCACCTCTCATGGAAGATGCTGTTCTCCTCAGGGGGTTCAAACCCCAAGGATTCATATCCCAATAGTACACAGCACTATGGGAAAGTCTGTGTGCACAGAGACGCAACATCATTTGACAGATTTCAAAGGCCACACCAAAACATCCCAGGACTGCCTCAAGTCAAGTGAATTCATAAAAAAGTAATGCCCTAAGAATAGCGAGGAGCTTTGTTTAAAGTGTTCGTTATTGCTCTCATCCAGAATAACTCACTTGTGGCACTCACTTTATATAATTTTTAAGGATTAAATGTGGGAGGCTGGATTCAATCTGCAGTTGCAGGAAGTTGACACTTAATCAGGAGTCCCACCCCATTGAACATGACTTGGCTTCATGTTGAACATTTAGACTGGGAGAATAAGGTGGAAAACGGCAGTGTTGCAAATCCCACTGAACAGAAGGGAGATTCTTAATTATTTAAGTTCTACTGGCCTCTACTGAAAGGTGAAAGGAAAAAAAAAAAAAAAAAAGAAAAAAGAGTAGTGTTTGCATCCTCCAGGTTCCCTTCTGGCTTAAGGAAGGAGTTCCCAGCTCTGCATCAAGAACATTTAACATCAAAACTTTGTGGTCAGTGTAAATGAATCCTCACAGTGCTGAGGAAGACAGTGCAGCTGGCAAGAAATCCAAACTGTTCAAACTTGCTAAAAGCCATGAGATTCTGTCATCAGCATTGGAGTAGGTTTCTTCATGCTGATTTTAGCAAAAACTAGCAGGCTTCAAGCCTCTCTCCAGTATTAGATGAATAAGCACCAAGGCAGAAAATGCTTAGACTCATGAGCAAGTTTGTTTTAATTAGAAAACCAAAACTTTAAATCAAACAAAAAAAATGTTATCCCAAGGCTTGAGAGCTAAACAAAGTAATAGTTTCCTTTGGCAAGTCCAATACGGGTTCTCCTTGATACTTTTTTTCCTCTTGATCTGCTTGAGGAGCTGGAGAACCAAGGAGTTTTTGTCCTGCTAGAGAGGCCGGCTTTGCAAGAGGGGACCATGTACTCTGCTCTTAGAACTAGAGCCACAGCTTCAGCAAGATTTCATGAGCATTCCCACACCCAGTCCCTCTTTCAGGATCATCAGCAAGACTTGAATTCACATCTCTGATGCAGCACGTTCCTGTATTTCCTGTCTTGGCTGCTAGCACACTCATGACCTCCAAGGTACTGCATCTACGGACACTTCACAACATAGCACATCAGAATTCGACCCACCATTCTGAAGTAATGGGACAGGCTTCTGGCTGCAGTATGAGAAATGTTAAAAAGCAAACTTAGGAGAGAGTGCCCATTTCTGCAAAGCAGCATACACGCTCCACTTAATCCTACTGTCTCTCTTGAACAGATGTTCAGAGTTTTTATTTCAATCTAAATGAAGGTAGAAGCAAGCCGGTCTTCTCTTTGGCACAAAACTTTGTTCTGCCATTTTTCAGTTGTCTTCTAAAAGCAGCATGCACCCGAGAGCCAAGGACAACTGTAACCTTCTGTTGTCCTATCCGTCACTCAAAGGGAATAAGTGATGGGATACTTGATAAAAAACCACCTGAAAGAGGCATCAGACTGGCTTTCATTATAAAAATAGTGAAAATTAGTCTCTTCTTGAAAAAATGTTTTCCAGATGTGAATTTCCAGAAATTGCAGAGTTGCACTGAAGAGAAAAGTCAAGCTCACTTCCCACAGGTAAGAGACCAGTAAGACGGAGGGTCTCCAAGGAATGTGGTTTCCTTTCTGCCTCAGCCAGAGAGCAGCCAAGCCAGCAATGAACTAAAGCAGCTGACTGTGACCTGCCTCGTGCGGGCCACAACCACCCAAGCAGGTCCTTCAAAACTGAAGCCTCTTGTAGTCATTTCACATAGGAGCCATTAGCTGACAGTAACCTCTCTGTGGTATAACTTTACCGAGGCTGGGCATCGCACTGCCAGTCTGCCACCATGGCTTGGGCCCATTAGCCTTCAGCAGGCTCACACTGAGGCTTTTCATGAGAAAACTGCCAGCCACTCCAGAGACAACCGCAGGGCATCGTTGCCAGAGGGGGAAGGGAGCATCTCCAGATGAAGTTAAGTGTTCTCCTCCAAGTGCATTTCAGATACACAAAGGTGAGCCAACCCAACAGCCCACTGCCACCAAGGCACAGCTATTCAGTCTCTCCGTTCCCAAACCCCAATTCAGAGAAAGGGGAAAAAGTGGCAAGTCTCCTGCTGAGTTCACAGAAGAATCCATTGCCAGCACAGCACTCGAATGAAGAGGTATATACCCAGGAGAAAGGCAGGAAATATTTGCTGTTAGAGGCAGCAAGCCATTGGTCAGTTCAGCTCCATACAGCACAGAAGTCGTAACTACGTAAGTACTCTTTGTGTAAGATTTCCCATAAAAATGTGCATTCCACTAAAGAAAATCTAGCTACACCTACCTTTGGCTACAGCGCAAGTCAGAATGCCTTTATTGGCAGAGTAGGACTCCTAGAGAGCTATGTAAGGTGCGTCACCAAATACGACCTTCCCTTTTTCTAGTACTGACGGCAAATGAAGATGAACACACAGATGCCTAGTACTATGACTGTTACCAAAGATTGCATTTTGAGGGCTGAATGAAGAACATCACAGCTACATGAATAGGATCAAAGAAATAACTGTATATACTAAAAGGTTATCATACCTTCATTGGCTCCTGGGTTAGATGAATGGTGCAATGTGATAACGATGAAGCCATGCATGTAGAAGACAAGACCATGGTCAGTTAGACAATACAGTTATGCACTATGGATTAAAGGCATATAGAAGCAAAGAGTGCAACACAGTTCTATCAATTCAATATGAAAAGTCCACTTTACTTACAAGGTTCACCCCAGAAGTCTGCAAACTGCTTTTGTTTAAGCCTCATCACCCAGAGAAAGAGCAACAGACCAACTTCCAACCGGGTAAGAAATACCACGCTAATTTACATTCAATAGGGAAACAAGATATGTGTTCAAGTAGTACAAAACCACCTTAGGGGTTTAGATTATTGTAGATAGGGGGAACTTTACTGTTGCAAAAAAAAAAAAAATCAGAAGAGTCAGATATGCAGTTTATTAAGTAGATGACAATGTAAAATATCAGTAAGTTCAGGAGTTGCTCTCGCCTCCTCTTAGAAGTATGGTCTTACTGAGGAATAATTCTGTAAGAAAGTATATGCCCCAAACCTCTCCTCTTTGCAATTTGGCTACCCTACTTCTTTGAAAATGATTTAACTGTAAACTCAATCTGTCTATCATCATCAACTTAGACTCTTTCTTAAGCACATACACAGCTTCTATGTCCACTATATGCACACAGCTCTAATGGATTGCACAGAGCTGTTGGCACTGTGGTAATGGTCACACCCTTATTGATTCACCACCATACCAAAAGCTACTCAAGATCTCTCCGCTGTACTTTGGACAGATGGAATGCATCTTCCTAAATGGATTTATCATGGTGAATAACAAGGATCAAGATAGTAAACGTCAGCAGTAAAATATCACAATATATTCTAGCCTATTTGTGAACTTAGCATAAACAACCGTAGACTGTGCATAGCTACATCGGTATAGCCTGCAGGGATCATATTCAGCAGCATGCATTGGCTCAGATTTAAGGAGAGACACGTGTTTTCTCCAAGCATAAGTAATGCAACATCCCAGCTCTTTTGACCATAATTCCAGTACTAGTTTTCCTACTTGTTACCTCCTTCCTGAAAGATAAGTTTACCAACCTGCTCTGAAAATAGAAACTTGTTTCTTCTGCAAGGAAACTACACCAGGAACCAAAAGAACCTCTGTTGGAACATCCTACTCCTTTACCCAGTAAATTCAAAAGCTGAATTTACAGGAAGACCTTCTCTAGAATCTGTAGGTATATCCAGTTCTACAAGTGCTTTCACATGGACAAGAATTTAAGCTATCAAAACCAAAGCTACCCCCTCTTTATCCTCTCAGAGCTTAGCTTTAGTCTAAGCCATCGTCTCACCAGTCGATGCAACACAAAAATAACCAGCAACAACTTATCACACCTCCAGCAGGATGATGCTCCTTGCAGGAGAAACATTGCCACAATTTACATTTGAATACATTTGAAACACTTCACATAGTACAGGTAAGAAAGTGCACAGAATGAAAATACTGAGTTTGAACAAAGAACAAAAGCTAATTATTTGAGGTAGATGGTACCACTCTCACAGGTTATCCATACAACTATTGTGCAGTAAGATATTGTTTGCTGAGGGAAAAAAAAAAAAATCCACTGTCCCCCTTTATGGTTCTCCAATACAGCATTAGCGTTTACATTAGCCTGTTGCTCTTCACCCAAACTTTTCTAATCACAGGTGGAAAAAAGTTTTGTCTCTAAGAATCCCCTACCCATGCTACATAGGCTGGCATGGCAAGGCTAGTGCCCCTACCTGGAACTCTAGCAGGAAAAGAGTCTGGAGACCCTGCTCCAGCTCCTCCTTCCTCATCATCCTCCTCAAACTCCAAGTGTTCCTCTTCTCCAGGTGCTAAAATCTTCCTGTAAGACATGAGAAAGAAGAATGAGACCAAAGATCATTCATCATCTGTCTTTCAACTCACAAGTCAGCACTTGAGTATAGAGCAGGGGCAACATGCTTTAATGTCATTTCATACTTCTTATTAATTACTACCTGTATCTATACACTCTGACAGAGACTGCAGGAGATCAGCCCAGTAGAAAGCACAGAGTCTAAAAACATGAGACAACACTGGCAATTTCAAAGAGATGCAGGGATGTACCAAATCCTGATTTTACCAAAAGCATGGGCTTGATTTTTAGTGGTACCTAGACAAACAGAGTTCAGAAGTTCTCTTAGCCAGTTTACCCAAAGCAGTACAGCAAGTAGGTGGCTCTAGAAATTCTAGTGTTTCAGATGTACACCAGGTCCCAGGCTATGCTCTGTTTCAGATACATATCTGTACATAAAGTGACCCAGTTCTCTCTTACCTGAGTGGGACAGGCTGAACATCAAAGGGGAACTCCTTATTGTAAGTGAGGATATTCTTTAAGACTGCAGAGAGGGGAAAAAAATAACAATCCATATCCATATACAAGCATTAATGCTGCTACTTTGCACAGCTATGTCCATTCTCACAGCATCTTCACACACACAAGTAATAGTAATATTTTAAAAATAATTGGATCATACAAAAAACCCAACCCTTCTCTTATGTTTTAAACACCAGTACAGTCCTGATCAGGGCTGTATCACTGTAGCATTCAGCCAGGCTAACTGCAACTCCAGCGTAAAATCACCGCCACACTCACACAGCCAAGGAAGATAGAGACAGCAATAACCAAAAGCATCATGAGAAACAGCTACAGGCCCTGAGGCAATGGTAGCAATCTTCGGTGGCTATTGAAAGCAGGGTGGTGCCATTACTAGCATCAGCTCCAAACAGACTGAAGTCTCCAGAACTGACACACTTCAGCACACATGTAGGCTGCACATTCAGACAGCTCCGTGGGAGTCCAAGCATGCTGGTAACACATAACTTAGTTGAGATTTCCCACTTCTTCATGCATGTGTTTTGGGGTTTTGCGGGGGCGTGTGTGTGTGTGTTTGCTTGTTTGTTTTTTCTTTTTTTCTGCCCTCAGATATCTGGGCAGATTGGCAAAACTCAGAAGAGATACAGTGCAACATTTGAGCATCAAGCCCCAGAGACACAGACTACACTCTCCAGCATATGGTGGAGAATGGCTTTGCCATTTGTATTGGAAACTTACTCACGTTTCAGTAATCAGAACTTTAGCTGTTATTTCCAAAAGCATTTACAAGTAAAAGCAAAAATTCCAAAAGCATGTGAAAGAAATAAGCATTCAAGGATGGCTGAAGGGCCTAAAAATTTACAAGAGAACGCCTGCGGGGAAAGGCACTCTCCTAGCAGACAGTGAGTATCCCAGACTGGGTAGGGGGAAAGGAGGTATTAAAACTGAGTCCTCTCCCTGAGCCTCCCTTTGCAATAAACCCTCTCAGAGCACGGGAAATCTCCCTTTAGGACTACTGAATCAGAACAAAACTGTTTTAAAACAATGTTAAGATTACACAAATACCCAGAGGTACTTAAAAACCACTTATGTTCCAGGCCCCTCTGCACACTACAATTCAGCCAGTGTAGGAGAGCTTCCCTGTCTGTCTTCATATTCACATCACTCAGCGTGGGCCCCATCATTAACTTACCAGACACCACCTGAATGCTACAGTGAATAAAGAATCCCTCAGGGAAACTATAAAGAATCCAAAAAGCCCTTCCAGTCTTTGCTCATTCTGATTTTTTTTTAATGATTTTTGTACCACCACCTGAGAGGTTAGGTACTGCTTGATTACAGCTGAACACAATATATAGATATATAGAAAGCTTTAGGTTGCCTTCAGTAAGAGATGTGACACACAAAACTGATGCCAAGGCTTTCTCTCGCTCCAAAGACTTCTGCTCCGAGTGGTCAGTAATGCAGTTCTCAACATCCTGGCAAAGAATCACAGCCACTTCCCAACAGAAAAGCAGCCGATTAACAGCAGCCACCTTCCAGCGCTGCTGAGGTTCAGGAAAAGAAGGGGAATTTTTACCACACTCAGAATTCCCCAGCTCTTGGAGAGCTACATCATACCAGAGACAGAAAGTGAAACTGTCCCAGGCAGAAAAATCACAGTAAAGCGAGATTCTCTTACAGATCATAAGCATGTTATACAGAAGCAATAGAAATTACAGTCGTTCTCCTTCCAACTTCCAGCTAGATTCCTCTCTTTTCCCAGTAACGAGCTTCTCTCACTACGTGAATGAACATCATCTGAAAAAACCCTTTTAGTAATTAATTTCAGTCATCACTAGAGGGCAAAAATACTCACAAAATACGCCACCAATATCAGCACAGGAAAAGGGCAAACAGTTTTACAGCGCCCAAAATCTTGATGCTGCCTGGAGGCAGAGCTGAGCGTACACCCTCCCGCCACAGAGCCGTGGCCATGCACACGGGCGTTGGTACCGGACCTGCCCATGGGAGTACACTGCCTTCAGACATCCTGGGGGTGCTGGTAACAAAGGCAATGCTGAATGTTTAGCTCAGAAACACTTCTGGAAACACCATCCAGAAACTCTTGGCTTTTGCTGCAGAAAGCTGTGGATCAAGTTTTTAAAGAGCTTCAACTCTGCCTCATCACCAATAGCAAATAATTTTGCAGAGTTGTAATATGGAGATTTACTACAGTACTCCTTTAAACAGCATCAGGATAAGAAGTGGATCTATAGCACCTCAGCCTGGTGAAACACTTACTCCAAGTCATTAAGAAAAAGCAAAGCAATAAAGCAGCAATGCAACAATCATCCCTTGAGGAAAAGAAAAATCCTCTTTACATCTATCACAAGTGTGAGTTGCAGTTGATTTAAATAAAAATAACCAGATCACAGAAAAAGACATAAGGTTACAATGAACAGGAATCCCCCTTGCAATACTGTGTAAGGCACCCAAGCTTTAAGAGGTTGGTTTGGGCTTTTTTAGTTTTTGTTTTGTTTTTGGAAACACACATTGCCTCTGAGAGAAAGAGCACTTCCCCTCTGTAATGCTGCTTCTGAGGACACAAGTCACAAAGTTCTACACGTGTGTAACTATGGGCAGATCCCAGCATCGAGGCCTCCATTCACCTTGCTTTTCCAACAGAAATCTTGTAAAAATACTGTTCTGCAGGCTGTCATGCAGAAACTGCCTTTTTTCTTGGGTGACGTTGGACAATATCACATCGATCCTATCAGCAGCTGGGTCTCTTGAAAGATTTCAAAAGAAATTATCAATGTGAGCCATAAGATCAGTAAGACTAACTTGGCAAAGACCACTGTCCATTTAGATGTTTAGTGACAGCCTACAATACCTTTACAGGTTTCTTTTTTTTCAAATAGATAACACAAAATAATTCAGATACCAGGCTCCCCAGTACAACTCAGTATCTACTTCTTCTTTAATACATACACACTGAGTTTGAAACTAGTTGCTTATGGCTAGAATTACCACACACACAGTCACATGGGATGTCCCACCCTATCCATTTGTAATGCGTACTATAACACTGGAATAAGCTTTCACAAGAAAAGGATTTGTGAGATCCAGTGTGTTAGCAATGACTTCACACAGCATAGTCTAAAAAGAACTGTTTGCATGGATGGACCCTCCTGTAGCATTATTCTAGCACAAAAGATTCAGTGACAAATCCTATAAACAAACAAGACTAGCCAACCACTTCACTTTCCAAGCGGTGTGAAACACAAGCTTACGTAGGAAAAATTAGAACTTGACAACACAAGATCAAAAAAAAAAAAAACCCAATGTTAAATCTAAAGGCCCTGGTTGTTACAACACCCAAACCAAACTTCTCAGCCATTTTGACAGCTTCAGGCACAAAAGTAATTAAAGCAAGCCAAATTGTGTGCGTAGATGTTTTCGTTCCACCCTAACAGAAGGGTGGTTTGACCTAACAAAGGAATCACTTATTCGCATTGCCAGCCCAGATTTTTTTAGCTTTTTCTGGTTGAATGCAAGAGAAAATTGACAACACGCAAGTTAAAACACTTCATGGTGTGTTTTATGAAATGTCTGGTGTTTGCCTGATTAAGATTTACTATTCAAGATATACTTAAAAACCACAAAACAAAGGCACAATTCGGAGAGAAAGAGGCCAGAACAATCCAAGCCAGACAGCAGCATTAAGAACATCAATGTTCCATTGTTGTCATAGAAGCACCCATTCTCCTCCGAGGAAAATAACTCAGTGTCTTTGAAAACTGATGGCCACACACTCTTCCTCAGTTTTAATATAGTTTCTTGTTGTATGAGGTGTGGGCTGAATGCACTTCACACTGTTGAACAGTTTTTTGACAGCTAAAGATCAATTCTCTGATGGAGGGCAAGATAAGCAATCGGACTGTTGCACTGTAATTGAAATTTTGGCTTTTAAGAAAAGGAGGCATTTCAAGGGAGGCTTTACACCTGTTGGCAGAATGTAAATTCTGATTAAACCCTTCAACAGTCACTTCTTGTGATCTGTAGAACAGTTTTATCAATTAAAACATGATTCCCCTCCCTCTTCCATTGTTCAGCCACTCACAGGGCATTTGCACAATGGAGTCTAAAATCCACAGTCATTAAATAATTACAACACTTCAAATATTTTGTAAACAGAAAGCAGGAATATCTGCACAAAATAATCCCCAATCAGAGGATGCAGAGGCCAGACGTGCAATATGTAGATTGAGAAAGACCTAATACTTCTAACACATAGTTAAACCTTTTCCTGAGTTAGGGTCTTCACAGACGTAGCTGTCTTGTAATGTACCTTCACTTTCCATTTTCAGGGAACAGTTTAAAAGCATTTGGACTCTATGTTTTGGAGGAGACATTAGGAAGCTCAATTTAATGCCCTGCTTCTTGAGAGGCTTCCCTGTAGGATCCTGTGCCAGTTATTTAGAGAATGGGAGTGCAGAGAAACTCAGCTTATTCATGAAGTGGAAACACTTGCCTGCCCATCATCTTTATCCCCAACATCCCCCCTAATGACACAGAAGCAAAATAAAGCCACCTTTCACCAGCATGAAAAAAAGCTCTTCCACACCTCCTGTTCCCCAAGAATTGCATAAATGTTAGCATTCAGGATAATATTGCTTAGATGTGGAAGCTCTGATCATAAAGATGCTTTAGGAATAAAGCAGCCAGCGTTACGGGAAGGAAAACATAGCAAATAAATAGATACTTCCTACATGAAAAAGTTATTTCTGGATTGACATACCCAGAATCGACCCAGGATCCATTGGGAAAAAACATCATCACACAAAACACTTCAAAGACTGACTCACATCCTCACTTTAACTCTTAACTTTGTTTGTATGGTAGCATTACAGTGGTAGGCAACAGGTGATTAGCTACCATGAGCACAAGTTAAATATTTTCAGAAGAAAAAATAAATTTCATGCTGGAAGGTGGAAAACCACAAAGTGTTGAAATTCACTTCAAGAAAGAAATATGCAGGTAAATTTTCCAGCTGATTATATACTGTACTACTGATAGCTTAAATTACTATTTTGTGCAAAAATTAGCAGCACCCAAAGTATAACTTACTTAAGAATAAAGATGAATCCATTATCTGAAACATTAGGACTACTATACTTTGAAGTTACCCACATTACATTCCTTAATACACACCAGGTTTTGTCTATGTGGTAACAGATATTTGGAAGAACCACCTAAAACCAGCATTACTGTCAAACCACATTGTGGTCAGTCAGTATTCATGCTGCTGTCATATTTTCCACTGTAATGATAAATGTCACTCACTTAAAATACAAAGCTACTACTTACTTGGTTCCAACTTCTTCAGATCCTCAAGCTTAAATTCATCCTGTGATTGGGTGGACTAGGACATTACAAATAAAGAGTTAGATCTTAGTATGCACCTTCCTCTCAGACAGAGCTACCATATCTTCGAACAAGCATGCAAAGTACTTTCTTGGTTCAAGTGTAGCAGGTTACTTCCAAGCTATGCCCTAAAAAAACCAAACAAAAGCTCCACAACAGATATTAGATTCACAGGTGAGGTGGAAAGTACATTACTTCTCATTTATTGAGAACAAACTTATCCCATGTTCCAAGCTCTAATGCAAGATAAATATTTTTAAAGCAACTAGTTGGTCTTTCACGCTTACTACACGCAGGAACACTAAGACAGAGGGACTTATTTTAATTCTTCCCCAATCAACTTGTTCTGAAGCAAGATCAGCTGTAAGGCCCTACTGCAAAGCGATGCCCCAACGGGAGCATTCACAGTTCAAGACACATGTCCAACATTGTTAACACTGGCAGAAATTACAGTATACAGCATGAGCTTGACAAAACACTTGGCTAAGAGCTCACTGCAAATGGAAGAGGGATTCCCATCTCTCCTTTCTCCAACTCTGATGATGCAGTTTCCTCATCTGTCTGTAGCACATGTCTGCTTCTCAGTAAGCAGAACAGAAACTCAAATGAAAAGTTTTTAATATTTTCTTCTGAGGTAGTTCACCGACAGTTTGGTAAGCTGAACTCACCTATTCTGAAATCCTGAGTGGCAGAGCCAGCATAAGAAAAGTGGTGCAAATAAAAGGATCGACACTGGACATTCTCTTTTAGGCGGAGAATCAGGTCTTACCTACTGTGTCATTGGATCCTTTGCATCTCTTAAGATTACCCGTGTTTTCAACACTTCTCTAAGGCCCAACATGTTTGGCGTTTTTTTCCTTGATTTTTGCCCAAATGTCAACAGGGACCTTCTACAAGACTACAGAAGGATATTAAAGCAGCTATACCCATACTGTTAGAAGAATGGGAAAAGATGACCAAACTCACTAACTACTTTCATCTCTGCTAAGAAACCATAACAGAACTGCTGCAAGTAAAACACTCCCCAGAGTGAAATGGATGAGAAGTTCTAGTACCCTCACATGAGGTTATAAAATCCTTGAGTTACTGCTGAGGAACCAACAGCAAGGAAGGCTGTCCTTGCAAGACATCATGTCTTCAGTTTGGCAACTTATGACATTGCTACATCTTCTTGCTGTTGCTCTGAGATGTGACCTGGCCCACGAAGCTGCCCTACAATGGAACACACCTTGCCCTCATCACAAAGTCACAGTGACTCAGAACAAGTGCAATGCTGTTCAAACACCCCAGGTTAGATCAAAATAGAAGGACAGGTAGAGCTAAACAAAATAATTCTTCAAATGCTGTACAGCCTCAAGACTGGTCAGCCCCCACCTCATCAGTCCAGCTCCAGCATGCTGCCTAAATTGTCACTATATCCCAGCCTCTCAGACAACTGAAGGCAGCACAATGGAGCTGCTGCTCCTTGTACAGCAACATGAAGTACTCAGGAGTGCTGCTGTGAGCAACTTGATGCAAAATTTGCCTGTCACCACTCTTTGCTAGTAAAGAGGTAATCCAGTAACCCAAACTTCGCTTTACTAGCTTCATCCCTTCTCCATCCACACTCTTTTGGAAATTTCTCTCAGCTCCCTTTTGCGGATAAGATTGTGCTGAGAGAAAAAGAAATTCACTCCCATGACATCTACTTTCAATACAGAAAAGAGCCCAAAGAGTAGCATCTAAATCAGTATTTTC